TTGTATGTGCGTGACATCTTGTTAACAAGAACCCACACGAAAAACGTGATTGATATAATTCTTAAATAACTCGGGATATTTAAGAAACAATTGTTCTTCATCAGAATCTTAACGCTCTACTGAAGACAAACCTTAACCAACAGGGAATATATTTGATCTAGTGTACCATGCCGGGTGTCGTACCGTGCCGTACCGTACCGGGCTGTGGCTTAAGGCGGAGTTCCATTCCAAACACAGTGTCAGAAATGATACGCACAATCAGTAATGTCAGCGTTGACATAATGCCTTGTTATTTGTGTTTATATATTTTTATTAGAGTGTAATGGGAACCTATTTCAATGTCATAAAACACATTGCGAAACCGAAAGACAAGCAATTAGCACAGAATAAAACAACCATCACCATGATCTAGTTGACGTATTTTAAGTGTATTTCTTATTGATCATGCCTTAAATCACATTCAATTTTTTTTTCATCCTGCCTTAAATCACATTCAGCGATTCATCACTGTAAGCTTCTTTATAGCCATGATGATTCCGTCAACTTTAAACGGTTACAATACAGTCATAAAATATTGATAAATAAATTACTGTTTTATCTACGGTTTGACTAACAAAGTCGTTGAGTGTACACAGACTGTCTAAGTGGAAACCGCCCAATCAGAAACACGGTTTTCTAAACCGCCTCCACCAAATTACATTTTTGGCAACAAGATATGGTCTCAGTATTTCAAATTTAGACCGATTAACCGTCTTATGTGAACATGGCTACTGATTGAAGGACGGATCACTTGATCTGCCACCAACAAAAAGAAACCCCGTGACTTTGTCAAACTTTGTCGTCCCAGACCACGTCCTTATACGATGTCACGGCCACACAGACTGGGTTATATCTATTGAACACAGGCAATAAATTATGGTAATTTAGGAGAATTGAGTATTTCCCGATGGCGGTGTCCAAAGTCTATTCACTCGTAGCAAACATAGACATTTTATCTCAGCTGATGAAAAGAGTACCGTACTTAGATCCAACAGAAACACTTGATGTCTTTGTAAGTATTTTTCTGATGCCATTTTGCTTTCTAGACATATCTATTAGACACAGTGACAATAGTGACAGGTCTGTTTGTACCAAGCTAGATGCATGTGCCGCTCATCGGAGTCGATCTCAGGTCTGTTAGAGAACCCACTCTATGCTATTGTCAAAATGCGTGTTTAGGCAACCCGTTTTCGTAACAGTATCTCACAGGTAGGATCTGCTTTCATAAGCGGTAGGTGGGTTTCTATTGCTGTATACACAGTTCCCGGTCCCACTTACACAGTATTAACGACACCCTGATTTGTTTTGGTAGTGCGGCCACCTCCATAATTGTACATAATTAGAGTCCTTTACACTGTCCCACAATGGCCGGGTGGTTTACGTATGGTGTATGGGCGGCACAATCGTTAATAGGCACTACTACAAGGTTGTTTCTCTTTGGAGAAGGCGGGGGTTGAAAATTCTGTGACCTAGCCCTTGGTGAGTATTTCGTAACAGTTTTATAAGTAATATTACTTTCATGCTTTTGTTATGTGTTGTCGTGTAAAGTTGTGCCTGCTTTGAATCGTATTAGCTAAATATATCAATATATGCTATTCACCTACTGTCAAAATAATATGCTTTATGAGACGCTAAAACAAACTTATCTGGTCTCTATGACATCATGATAGGAGCTATCACAGTGGCATACGGGGGAGCACAACGTAGCCGGTGGCATCGACGACCAACTCTTCACCATAATCATCATCAAAATCGATTAACAATTCCAAGATTAATTGTAGGGTCATGGTGTATCTATTAATACATTGGGTCGTGAACAGAAAACTGGTAGTTTACATTATCATCGTGAGTTTACGTAGTACCAATATTTAATTATTAGGATTATTTGCTTAAAAAACTTCTTTCTTGGGCGAATTTCGTCACGTCTGATCATGATCATAATGGATTGGAAGACTTGTGTCTGTGCTTAATCGGTCATAATTGTATATCTTCAGAGAAATTGACAAAAAAAAAAAAAAAACACTTAGCGTTGACCGTATTTTATGAGTGAGTGCCACCGTAGTTTGTTAATCGACCATCACAAGTGACATGGCGATATTGTCCTGCTCTTCTGTGCATAATTGACCAACATTTCAATAGTTTGTAGAAAATGGCGACTAATCGGCTTTTTTTTATTCTTTAGGGTCGCATTATTCCCATTCGATACGCAAGCACTTATACCCCGAACAACATACCTTAAAAAATAACCGCAATTTTATTTATGACCTACGTGTCGTTTTACTTCGATATAGTTGCTGTACATTAATCGTTCATATGCCTTGCGTCACAGAGTTCAATTAGATTGTATTTCAATGACGGCAGTTTTCTGTAATTAGATTGTGGAATTGAAATTAAAATATACGCGTTGTAAAATTTAGTTAATTTTAGAAAATCTGTTGACGGTTGTCAAAGCAACTGCCCTCTATTCTAAAGTGTGATTTCAAAGCCGCCGCTAATTTTTTTGTTTTGATGATATAAAAAAGACGTCGATACCGGAATATGATTCAACAAGCATGCTGCTCAATATATACAATTGGTTCTATTTAAAGTATACATGGGTCTTGACGAGTTGGTGACCCTTCACTAAATCCTCAGATTAAAGGCTGTAAATAACCTCGAGTCACCGTCCCTTTTCAAAAGCTTGACTTAGTGTGTCGTACGTCGACCACGACCATTGTACAATGTCTGTCGAATACGGCGTGAATGTTCGTAGTAATCCGTGGGACGTGGCAGTATATAAGTAGGGTATCAGAGACGTAGTGGTCGTTTCAATCAACATGGAACCACACTCGTGCGCAGTTCGTACGTCGCTTTTATCCGATTCGGTTCGTGTCCACGAAAGAATGGTCCCTCAAGGCTGCTATGCTTGTAAGTAATGCAACGGTAAGACTTATCGCCGTGTACGAACCAACCATTGCAGTGCAAGAACAGCATATTATAAAACGCGACGTCACAACTTGGTACGTCGATATCTTAGTCCGCTTAGTACACGCAACGTACGAGGACAACGGTTGCCTGGGGTCTGTTTGTCTGCATTCACGGTGATACCGCGGTGTTAAGTAAAACCAGGTACATGACATTATAGGGGTGGGGTGGGGGTTCGTATAATGTTGTCAATTTATACGGGGTATCTTTTTCATATTAGTTTTGCTTTATTTTGGATACTTAGAAGTTAATGCTTTCTATTGATATTGCGTTGCTATGATACCCTAAATTAGTCTAGTTCCAATACCCACGTCCCCATTAACACGCATGTTAACCGTAATCTAAGTATAATTGGAACCTGTAATCTCAATACGACAAGTCATTACATTCCTATTTATTTACGTTTTTCGTCACATCGAGCGATTGATATAGATTTCATTACCACGACTTTGATTCTTACAGTGGATATAAAGCAAGCGGCGATAGCTGCGTCTTTCCAGCTTTGGCAAAAACGCACTTCAAAAAAACGACATGGTGACTTCGGTTGAAATACTACAACATCGACCCTGACGAACAGAGAAGACTAGCTCTCTATATATAGAACGAATGGCTGTGTCTGAATACGCACACTACAATAGAATCATCTGTTCAATACTGTCCACACTAGAGTTACTCCACTTAATCATTCAAACAGGATTCCGTTTGTCATCGGCAAGTTAGCATGTTCTTTTTTAAACAAAATCAAAGGTATATTCCATTTAGTAATAGCGTGGCTTTTTATTATTATTTTTTTTTACTACAGTTTAGCAAACAAAGTCACGGACACGATCACGTGACCACTGACGTCATAGATCAAGCTGAGATATAATAAGGTTAATATCTTCGTGACAATTCAAACCTCGCACTGATTTTCAAGTGATACCGTGATAGGAAATGCTGTAAATTATAGTCGATGACGTATATTATTCGTGTGGGGTCATAGGCCAGACGTGAAGTGTCAATCAGTTACGACAACGCGATTTCATTGATAACAGTGTTAGTTCAGCAATAAATTAAATGATATTTTACATCATCGGTCAATTTATCCAATCAACTCGAACATGGATTGATATATACCCTTCCTCGTTGTTGTTAATTTTGGATCAGTCAGGCGATTCAGACCGTGGCCGTGGCATCATAGATGGACATTATTGTATCACCCCCTCCCATATATCGCCACCTGTAGTGGTTGTCATAAACAAAAAAAGAAAATGTGGAATTATTAATAATAATAATTTGTTTGGATTCAAGGGTGATTTTATAGGGAAGATATGAAACGAGTAATACACACGTTTCTTTAAAATCTTACGCACAATAACTGCGGCGTCTTTCATAAAATGCTATATAGTGATTAAACAAAAACAAGTGTCAATTGTCTAGTACGATAAAATCACGGATTCAATTTACATCAAAGCTAAGGTAATACTTATTTTGGCCGAGGCCCCCACTAGTTTGGAAAACAGACCTGTTAACGTCGCTAGAAAGAAAAAAAAAACACACTGACAGAACCAAGGGCGCTGCCACAGCAAACATACCTGTGCTAAGAGGGAACCCACCGTTACGTAGGGATTGAAAACGCATTACCAATACTCAGCTGCTTAGCGACATGCTGTGTTTATTTTATAGGAGGTGACCTCTTACAAATTAATCCCTGTATACGCAGTAGTACTTGAATATATATATAGCCAATGGAAAGCATGCGTTGTCCAAGTCACGAATGGGTACGCTGACTATTTGTACGGCGATGGACGCCACCTCGTGCGTAATGCCATTGATATGAACTGTTTGTGTGGATTGACCGAGTGTAATCCAATCTAGGTCATCCACCTTGCCTGAGTATATATAATTCAGAAGTATTTCTGTTAGGAAGGACCGTCGGTGAGATCGTAGTTTCAAGCAGACTTAGTCGCACCTTTCCAAATTCGATAGTCGTTATATAAACTCGTGTGCGAATAGCAATGGTGTTAGAGAGTAGACATCGTACTAGTTATGGGATTAACGCTCGAGCAAACAACGGCAGTATTGACAAACAAACAGAAAATATCGCGCGTAAGAGTTGTCATGGTGAGTTATACGTCCTTACATGGACATCTCGTTGTTTTAATTCTTAGTTTTGTAATACAAATATGACTTGACTTGTGTGTATACCAGTCTTTGTCGGTCTCTGACTCGGTAAATTCTCCGACAAACTCAACTTATACAACTGGCCAAATGCCTGCTTTGTCGCGATGGGTTTAGCAAACCACGACTTTTTTTAATTTCAATCAATCAATAATTGCAATTTATATAAACTCTGAACAATTGCTTAACCAGTAAACGCATGCGTGCTTCTTTAGAGGCGATTTACTTAACTGTGATGAACTGTATTGTAATCAACAAGTTGTTTGGCTGGCTGACCTTCAACGTCGTGTGTGACACCATCAAGTCTTATGAAACTAGGCTCCGACTGAATGCAGACAACTCGAACACTCCTTAGACACTTTATACTAGAAGCCATTATGTTTTTTTTAATATTATATATCAGATATACCCGTTATCACCTAGAATCAGAACAGATTTGCTATCTTGAAAAACGGTCTGTGAGTGCTACTACTAAACACTATAATTACATCTAATAATTCCGTGGCACAGATCCGCCTTCTCCTATTTCCTGTTCCAGCTCAGCGAACAACTCCTAGCAATGACGAGGATTACGACCGTGACGTGGTGGTTGGAACAACTTGAAGTCACTACACGACATTTACTAGCGATTTCAACGCCCCATTTATACTGTCGAATGCTTTGATTATTATTTTTTTCAATTGCCATGCATTTCAGTGATTATTATGTCTGAAATAAAACAAGGCTGGGTCATGGTAGTATTTATTGGAATATATTCGGACAAACCGTAAAACACTTTTCCCTCATACCATACTCTCAGTGGTGTGATATTACGGAAAGCAAGTATCTTGATAGCTGACACTTTAAGTTCTATTGTTTCACTGGCATTGTAAATACGCGAAAAACAACTTTGCCTCGACTTACGTGTCCAGGTACCCATCGTCGGGTGCATATCCAGCCTCTCTCGGCTCGCTTCGCTCTAGACTCATTTGTACACATGTAAACAGCCTGCCGTATAAATAACAACCCCAATTCAACACGAAACTCGTAAAAATAATCGACACATATATTCATTGTTACTATAGTAGTTTTAAAACAACACGCACGATAAAAAAAACCTCCTTACAAGCAGTTAAAAATTGAACACGGACATAGCGTTGAAATCTTTCGTGAAAACGTTGCCTGCTAGCTGACCTTGTGTTACTCAATGTTGTCAGACACGTAATACAGAAAACATACCAGTTTGACCCTCGGCGCAATTCTTGATTTCAAATGCATTATTCAAACGTTACCTGCGTTTTTGCCTGACTCGGCGTTAATATTAATATTCCAGTCGACTATTTTTAATTAACTTTTGTGTTGGTATACCGCCTTCCAATTAGCGTATATACAACGTAATCCCTTGCAAACTTAAACAATCTGTTGATGCCAACACTCTTTCCGTGCTCAACTATAGATAGTATCAAAACGTCGAATTCCAGGGCCCTCGTTCATTTGTTTCTAGTTCTTACTTGTAACATATAAGGCCCCGTCTGAATGCAACGTTGTGGCTTTTTGACCCCAGCGTCACATGATTCTTGTTTATGCCGCCAGCCATTCTACTTCACTCACTGATTAGCTGGCATACCTTGTTATTGGCAACCATCATGTTGATTTGTTTGTTCGTCTACCCTCGGGCTGCTTAACGAGAATTACTACGGAGTCATGAAAAGTATTTTTAATTCAGCTTTGTTGACAGTCTCAATTCAATATGAATGTTCTGTAAGTTTTGAAATAACCCTAGCCTGGGGAAGGTGAGGTTAAAAGTGGGACACTTACAAAAGTCACCATGGCCTGGTTGTTTATTGATTATTTGAGTTCATCATTCTAATTTGATTTAAAATTTCAGGTGTGAAGCTACCGAAGCTACCAAGTCCCACGTTCTCCGAAACTACGGATGGTGTCAACAACGTTAACGCCACACTCATTCCGGCTGATGAAGTACGTTTGAAAAGACAGCGGATAAAACATTTAATGACTAAAAAAGAAGAAAGAAAGGGAATAATCAGTGTTATATCTGACGGTAAAACGTTGTGCGATATCATGGAGGACGAGAGTCATTTCGCTCAAACAGAAGACGACGTCTTCATGATAAACGTGAAAAGTCCAAAATCGATGATTGACGAGGAGGGCGCTGTTAGTAATAGTGGATGCGATAACGGGGGCAGAAATGTTTACTCGGCAGACAGTAAAGTACGGCGCCGCGTTCGGTTCAGCCTACCTGGAATGGGCGGGAAATGTCTATTTCCCGCCAGAGTAGAGGAAGAACTCCAACGCGTTCGACGATTCTCGACACCTTCAATGGTCGGCAATTTGTCGAGAGACGAAAGTAGTGACGACACTACATGCGGCGAGATACGACGAACACGTAAAAGTAGTTTACCACCGATAAATTATACGGTAGAGACTTTCTATGAAAGCCAGGTAAAATCCGTGGATAAACTAGTGAATTCGTTGGTGTCCAGGGACACACCCGGTACACCAAGGGAAGATTCAGCAACAAAAAACTCCAGTTTAGGATCAGCACATTTTTTAGCCGCCATGAAATGTTCGTCAGACAGTGACGATGTTGAAGACGATTCCGACGATTCCGAGGATAATATTCCAATGGAAGAAGATCGAGTTACAACTGAGTCGCCTTTACAGTCTATTAATGAAAATACGGCGATTTTGACGCCATCTCCGCTCATGTCCATTTCTTCTCCCAGAGTTCCAACTCCGCGTCGACGCAGAATGGGTGTTGTGAACTATAACACTGGAACACCTCAAGACAATACATTTAAACCGGTGTCCAGGATGTCTAATGGCACACCCGATTCAACGTCGCGAAGTATTGACGCTCGAGACCAACAGCTAACAAACAAAAACGGGTCTTCGTCGAATACGAACAATATAGGTTCTCCTGAATCACGCAGTCCAAGGAACTCTTTGACGACGCCCCCAAAGTTGCTAAAGCGAAGAGCGGTCTCGCTGGGTCAGAATGCCAAACCGGATCTTGCTGCACTGGAACCCATGTCCAAATCATCGTCTTTTACACCAGACTCTGCCAAAGATAACGTTAACCGCGAGCAAGAAATGAAAAATCTTGAGTCCAAATTGGGATCTTTGAGGATCCGTAAACGTGAAATTAAATCGTACGGAAACGTAATTTCCGAGAGTCTTTCACCCCTACAACCAGAGCGACAGACACAGAGATCATTCAGAACGAGGCGCAAATCATTGCCTTCTACAATGCCACCTTCACCAGTACTGATAACGCCAGAAATAGATTTTGCGTCATTGGAAAACTGTCGATATTTGCGGAGAAAACCATCCGATGAAGATATAGAACACTAAGACTAACACTTTTTCGTAGATGTGTATAGCGCCACCTGTGGTCGTAGATGGCTTTTGTTGCTTTATTATCAAGTTGATTATTTTTTTCTGCTCGTTGTGTTCTGCCAATAATTATTAATCTGGTCTTATTTTACACAACTGGCAGCATCAACCACCGAGTCTTGGGAATCATTCACATCGGAAATCTCCAGTGAACACAACTCTAAGGCAACATAGCCTGTAATTATCTATTTAATGGAGGAACCTAAACTCTAATCATGTATCCTGGAGAGAATTTATACTGTAATCATCTATTGACAAGGGAACCTAGACGATAATCATCTATTAATGAGGGAACCTAGACTGTAATCATCTATTGGTGTAGAAACCTAGACGTAGTCATCTATTGATGTAGAAACTTAGACTGTAATCATATATTAATGAGGGAACCTAGACTGTAATCATCTATAAATGAGAGACTCTAGACTGTAATCATCTATTAATGAGGGAACCTAGACTGCAATCATCTATTGATGTAGAAACCTAGACTGTAATCATCTATTAATGAGGGAACCTATACAGTAATCATCTATAAATGAGATACTCTAGACTGTAATCATCTATTAATGAGGGAACCTAGACTGTAATCATTTATTATTGTAGAAACATAGACTGTAATCATCTATTGATGAAAGAACGTTGACTGCAATCATCTATTGATGTAGAAACCTAGACTGTAATCATCTATTGATGTAGAAATCTAGACTGTAATCATATATTAATGAGGGAACCTGGACAGTAATCATCTATAAATGAGAGACTCTAGACTGTAATCATCTATTAATGAGGGAACCTAGACTGTAATCATCTATTGATGTAGAAACCTAGACTGTAATCATCTATTAATGAGGGAACCTATACAGTAATCATCTATAAATGAGATACTCTAGACTGTAATCATCTATTAATGAGGGAACCTAGACTGTAAACATTTATCGGTGTAGAAACCTAGACTGTAATCATCTATTGATGAAAGAACGTTGACTGCAATCATCTATTGATGTAGAAACCTAGACTGTAATCATCTATTGATGTAGAAATCTAGACTGTAATCATATATTAATGAGGGCACCTAGACTGTAACCATCTGTTGATGAAAGAACGTTGACTAAAATCAACTATTAATGAGGGAACCTAGACTGTAATCATCTATCGACAAGGGGACATAGACAGTAATCATCTATAAATGAGAGACTCTAGACTGTAATAATCTATCAATGAGGGAACCTAGACTGTAATCATCTATTGATTAGGGAACCTAGACTGTAAACATTTATCGGTGTAGAAACCTAGACTGTAATCATCTATTGATGAAAGAACGTTGACTGCAATCATCTATTGATGTAGAAACCTAGACTGTAATCATCTATTGATGTAGAAATCTAGACTGTAATCATATATTAATGAGGGCACCTAGACTGTAACCATCTGTTGATGAAAGAACGTTGACTAAAATCAACTATTAATGAGGGAACCTAGACTGTAATCATCTATCGACAAGGGGACATAGACTGTATTCATCTATAAATGAGAGACCCTAGACTGTAATAATCTATTAATGAGGGAACCTAGACTGTAATCATCTATTGATTAGGGAACCTAGAATGTAATCATCTATCGATAGGAACCTAGACTGTAATCATCTATTGGTGTAGAAACCTAGACTGTAATCACCTATTGATGTAGAAACCTAGACTGTAATCATCTATTAATGAGGGGACCTAGACAGTAATCAGCTATTAATGAGGGAACCTAGACTGTATTCATCTATTGATAAGGAAACCTTGACTGTAATCACCCATTAATGAGGGAACCTAGACTGTAATCATCTATTGATGAAAGAACGTTGACTGCAATCATCTATTGATGTAGAAACCTAGACTGTAATCATCTATTGATGTAGAAACCTAGACTGTAATCATATATTAATGAGGGAACTTAGACAGTAATCATCTATTAATGAGGGAACCTAGACAGTAATCATCTATTAATGAGGGAACCTAGACTGTAATCATATATTAATGAGGGAACCTAGACTGTATTCATCTGTTGATGAAAGAACGTTGACTGTAATCATCTATTGATGTAGAAACCTAGACTGTAATAATATATTAATGAGGGAACCTAGACAGTAATCATCTATTAATGAGGAAACCTAGACAGTAATCATCTATTAATGAGGGAACCTAGACTGTAATCATATATTAATGAGGGAACCTAGACTGTATTCATCTGTTGATGAAAGAACGTTGACTGTAATCATCTATTGATGTAGAAACCTAGACTGTAATAATATATTAATGAGGGAACCTAGACAGTAATAATCTATTAATGAGGGAACCTAGACAGTAATCATCTATTAATGAAGGAACCTAGACTGTAATCATATATTAACGAGGGAACCTAGACTGTATTCATCTGTTGATGAAAGAACGTTGACTGTAATCATCTATTAATGAGGAAACCTAGACTGTAATCATCTATCGACAAGGGGAAATAGACATTAATCATCTATAAATGAGAGACTCTAGACAGTAATCATCTATTAATGAGGGAACCTAAAATGTAATCATCTATCGATAGGAAACTAGACTGTAATCATCTATTGGTGTAGAAACCTAGACTGTAATCACCTATTGATGTAGAAACCTAGACTGTAATCATCTATTAATGAGTGGACCTAGACAGTAATCATCTACTAATGAGAGAACCTAGACAGTAATCAGCTATTAATGAGGGAACCTAGACAGTAATCATCTATTAATGAGAGAACCTAGACAGTAATCATCTATTAATGAGAAAACCTAGACTGTATTCATCTATTAATGAGGGAACCTAGACAGTAATCATCTATTAGTGAGAGAACCTAGACAGTAATCATCTATTGATGAGGGAACCTAGACAGTAATCATCTATTAATGAGGGAACCTAGACTGTAATCATCTATCGATGTAGAAACCTAGACTGTAATCATCTATTAATTAGGGAACTTAGGCTGTATTCATCTGTTAATGAGGGAACCTAGACTGTAATGATATATTGATGAAGGATCGTTGACTGTAATCATCCATTATTGATCAAACATGGACATTAACCATTTACTAATGAGTGAACACAGACTATCAATTTCTGAAACTTCTCATGTATCTCTGATGGATAACTACAAGAGTTTCTTGAAAGTTTTCCTGTCTTCTCCAGAAATTGGCACCGTTTTAAAGCATGTTGCTGCGAAAAGTTAGGGTGAGGGAACTTTCCCAAAAATCAGGATTATGTGAATTTGATCTCTACTATCCCTTATTAATCTAATTGGACAAAAACTATATATATTTCGTCCGGTATTTGTCGCATGACCGGAACCCTCCACAGTTTGTTTGTTCGTGCTGTACATATTATTTCATTGTAACCAAAATGTGTGTATGTGTGTGATTGTATTTAGAGAGTGTTTTTACGTATTCGAGTCTGTATTACCATTTACAAAAAATCGTCATTTTTTCCTGATAAATTATTTTGCCGGCTAAGGACAATGAGCAAAAAATGAAATATAGAATATTGTTTCTGTCGCTCGTGGTCGTCGTTAACATTATGATGGAATATGTGAATTCGTCATGTATTTATTATTTGACGACTCCACATATTTTCGCGTATCGCGAACACCAAGACAAGTACATATCTAATTTCCGAGATATACCATGTTCTCGTCTTCAATTGTGTATTTTCTCGCGGTTCTGCGAGAGCCCGTTGATAATTTTAAAATCCGTCATATATTATTTAAATATTACTTTAAAGCGGAGGGGTCGTCACCTGCGCACGTGCAGGAATTGAATTCCAAGCGACGATAACAACACACGCTAAAACTCAAAGGCTCATGGGTAGGCGCTTGTTTGTAAACAATGACACGCTATGGCCATCTGACGCATGCGCAGGTGGCGAATTCCCCCCGCTTTAAGCGCAGAGATATTATTGTATGCAATTTTGTTTGATAACTGGCGAAAGTGTCCGTCTCGTGAGTTCGCTTTGCTCAGTCTTATTTTTGCGTGTCAATATACTCTGCTTGAATTCAGCTCACTGTGTGTGTGTTGATTTGTATACTATATTTACAGCAATACTGAATAAATTATATATATATATATATATATATATATTTAGAAGCGGTGACGTCATATGAATTGAACCATGCCCTTTTCCAATCATCTACATTCCCGCAAGTAGTGTTGTCCAACGCCATCTACGATGAATTTAGACAATTTATTATTATTATTGAAATGAGTTATGATTGATATCGAATTTCTGGAGTAGACGTTTTTTTTTTTTTTTTTTGTCAAGTCAGTGCTATGATAAATCATTATATAATAGGTCGAGGGCAAGGCTACAATGGTACATTTTGACGACAGTCCGTTAATTACTCGGGGCTGTGATGTGACTAAGCCCATCTGCTTTCAACAATCATGATCGACTTTACGACAAATCAATACCAGTAAGACGGTCGCGCGGTCAGCTATAGATGTTGAAATTGAAACTGTGGTGATGCCAATGACCCGGTAATGGCTTGGATCACCCACTTCAACCTACAACAATCACTCAAACTCTCTTGTTATAACTTTGTCTCAAGTAATACAATTGTTGTTTTTTCCTATCACATGGTACCGTACTTGGGGTTCCACTTAGTTAGTTGATTTTGACGTTAACATAGCTGTCAGATTTGATAATAAAACTAGCAAAGCTGCCGTGTTCTTTTGTGAGCGGACAATGATTATATCTCTAACGAAGGGTGTTTTCTTAGTCCATCCATTAATCGCATGTCTCAAATGTTCCGTTATGAGCAGGATTTACGATTGCTTTTATAATTATCACGAATCCAATGGGCCTTGCCTATCTCCAGGCTTCTCGACATAATTGACGATTTCGGCCGGGATTCAAATCCTCGATAGATGAGAATGTCTATTTAAAAATTCTCGGCCTTT